CTGTAGGCGGCTTGGACATGGGCACCAACATCAACGTCTGTGGTAAACACACACACACAACAAACACTCACAAACACACACACACACACACACACGTGGGAACCAAAAAACACAACAACACACAAACAAACAAACACAAAACACAGAACACACAACAACACACAAAAACACATACACACGTGGGAAAACACACACACACACACACACAAAGTATAAAAAAACACCAAACAAACACACATGTGGGAAAACAAACACACAGGGTCTGCCCCAACCGGGGGAAGCTGATCCCAGGTTCTGGTGCCGGTGGTGCTCTCTCGGCCACCGTGGAAGCCCGAACAGTGCCACCGTCACCGAGAGCGGGATCCTCTGCCCTCGGTGGAGGCACGCCGCCGATGCTGACGGTTGGTGCCAACCTCCACAGTGCGGGCGCGGCCGCAAGAAACCCTCGCAAGAAGCCCAACCCTGCAAACACGCGCGCGAAGTGCACCAGAGGGGAAACCACCTGGAGCGCCCTGAACGCAGCAGCTCCTTCCACGGCCGCGGGAGGTCCCCGCGCAGCGCGCGGCGCGCAGAAACCCAGGATACCCCGACGAGCAGCATATGGCTTCTCGATGCGCGCCCCCGCTGCAGGCCTGCGGAGCTGACGGCGCTCAGCGCTGAGAGCCGACGGCGAGGCCGCCGCCAGTCGGCACGACGCGAGCCTGCCGCGACCAAGCCACCCGGGCTCCGCGCACCGCGCCCCCGCGGTGCGTACCGCGCGGCCCCCGCCGCGGCCCCCGCGCCGCCGCGCAACGAGCCCCGACGCGAGGACAACGCGAGGGCCCAGGCCTTTGACGATCTGTTTCCCACAGCCTGGGCGGTCCGCCTCCCTCCTCCTCCTCCTCCCTCCCTCCCTCCTCCTCCCTCCGCCTCCCTCCTCCTCCTCCTCCCTCCTCCTCCTCCTCCTCCTCCTCCTCCTCCTCCCCCTCCTCCTCCTCCTCCTCCTCCTCCTGCTCCTCCTCCAATGTCCAAAGCTCGGGCTGCTCCGGACCTTCCAGACACCCAACCGCTCGCGCTCCCTCGACGCGTGGGTCCCGGAGGTCTGGAACGCTCCCCTACACGGCAGGCTCGGGCCGCGACGACCCCGGCGCTGGCTTCTGACTGAAGCGGCCCTGGGACACACAAATAAATACACACAAATAAATGGATTCCACAATTTTCCTACATTTTCACGGTTTTCGTCTTCCCCCCCCACTCCCCATATCTTCCCATATTTTCCGGGGGATCGACAACTCATTGTGTCTACGTCTTTTTTTCCTTCCTGACTGACACCGGGTGGATCATTCCACCCTGAAGGATCGGCGGCGTTCCGATCGCCCGGCCGTTCCGCGTTTGCCGACTCTGGGCCACTGGCGGCCTCCCACCTCGAACGCCCGCGGCGGGGCCGCCGATAGTGCCGACACGACGCGAGCCTGCCGGAGAGGGCCGGCGTGTCGTGCCCATGCCGTCCTGCTGACGGCCCCGAGGCCCGGCGTGAGAGCCTCCAGAGGCCGGACACGGCCCAACGCCGGCAGCGCAGCTGCTCCTTGGAGCGTCGGATCTCTGCCTATAGCTTGGAGCCCAGCTGGCCTCGGCATGGCCCTCCGAGCCGCCCGGGGTGGGCTCGGCACCCCCGGCGCCGCCTGGGGCGTGCGCCCCTGGCGCGCGCCGCGCCCCGAGCGGCCAGTCTCGCATCCCAGGCTGGGGCGCGGGGCGCTGCGCGGGGGAGTCGTCACCGCCCCGGGCCCTATGTGGTTCCCATCGTACTCGAGGGCCACATCCCAGAGATCATCTCGAGCACCCGGACAAGCGTCGGAAGGGTGTCGCAACAGTGTCGAAACAGGGTCGGACGCGCGTCTCCCAGGGCCCGACACGTGAAAACCTTCGGGTTTCGGTTCTGTTTTCCCTGGCGCTCGAGATTCTGTCCGGCGAGCAAGGCTATACAGTGGGTTGGAACATCCTAACCCAGGCCCCAGACTGCAGTCAAAACTGACAGCAGGGGCGCGCGAGAGGGACTCAAGGCCCCCTGGACGCCCATGTCGAGGCTATCCTCGCGCGGGGCTGGCCGTCGAGAGTGTGCCTACCTCTAGTCGGGGCGTTGACCTAAGGAACCCCGAATCAGGAACGAGGCCCCTTTTTTCCATGAGTTAAACTTCGATTTCCCATCGAAAACCTACGGAAAACAGAAGGCAAACTGTGAAACAATTAAGGAACACGGAGCCCCTCCCAAACGAGAAGGGTTCCTTCTTCAGCACCCCGACTGTACCAGACCACCCCAACCCAACCCGAAGACCCGAATTTCGGGTTGCGGGGGGTATGGGCTCCATATGTGTTTTTGTCGATGTTCCCGGCCCCCCCTCCCACTGGAAATGGAGGGCAAATTGAGGCCTTCGGGTTAAGTTCAGGTAATGTGGTGGATGGTGAGGGTGGGCGAGGATGGCCCGAAGATGACCGAAGAGGCAAGAAAGCAAGGGTAGCCTTGGAAAGTCGGTCGCCCTTACGATCAGTTTTGACTGCACCATTAAGCGGAAGAAAGAAGTGTTCAAACATTCAAGTTTCGACGGTGCGCGCGGATTGCTTGGATCTGCGCTGGCCCCCCCCCCCCCTCCGGCGACGCGCGGAACGAAGAACGTTCATGTTGATGGCATCTCTTCTTCGATGCTATCAGTTTTGACTGTACCGGCCCTTCGAGGCCAGCCAGGACTGCCATCTCGGCGATCTCTGCGCAGCGACAAATGCTCACAGTAGGAGCTCGGCCACAAGAAACCTTCCACGAGAAGCCCCACCCTGAGACCCCAGGACGACCAGGAATTTTTGGAGTGGGAACGTCGCGCCTCCCATATCAAGACCATCGAAACCAAAGAATCCCAGGGCACCCTGGAGGCAAGCAGGGTGTTTCTTGGCATAGGCCTCCACTGTATGCAGTTTCTTCTTCGCTGGTAGTCGCCAGGGGACCGAAAATTAGCTCTCGAACCCGGTCTCGCCTGGTGCAGGCAAGGGACCCTCGGTTTCCAGGTCATAACTCGGCTCTCGGGACGACGCTGGTACCCCCAGAGCGCCCTCCACGAGGCGCAGCGAATTGAAACCGTCCTGGGCCTCGAAAACTTCCGAAAACTCCCCAACACGGGGTGTTTCTTGGTCGTTCAACATCGCAAGAGTCTGGGTCGCCGGCGGCCTTCAACCTTGGGGTCGCCCACGCTGGGGTCGCCGCGGGTCGACACAACGCGAACCTACAGTAGCAGTTGTGACTGCACCAGGAGGCCCTTCGAGGCCAGCCAGGACTACCACCTCGGCGATCTCTGCGCAGCGACGAGCCTCCGACGCAAAAAGCACCGCCATTGGCCAGGGCGCCCTTGGGGCCCCAGGGACGTGCTGGGCTCGAGGCCAGCGAAATGAAAACAGCGCGACCTGGGGCACAGGACTCAGACAAAGCCAGGATGAGGACACATTCGGGTGAGGAAAAATCGAGAATCTCTGAGATATGGCGGCTCTGGAGGATGTCTCGCGAGCCGCGGCCTTCCCAGTGCGCTCTTGAACGCTCTGGAACGCTTTGAGAGCGTTCTGGAACGCTCTGGAACGGATTCATCCTCATCCTAGCCCCCTCCGAAGGATGGCCCTGGTCAGGGGCGGAGTTTTTCAACAGACGGGGGCACGCCTGCCAGGAGCCGCAGAGATCTTTGCGTCGCAAATTTGTCGCACCAGGCGTTTGCGCCCGGCGCTGGGCCCCAGAACCCTCGCGGAAGGATCCATTTGGCTCGAGAAGTGCCGCAAAAGGATGGGATTGACGCCTCCAGTCGCGACTCTTCACGAGTGTTGCATTCTCGCTCGGGACGTGCACGAAAAAGGAACCCGAGGACGAGGGGGAACCTTAGGGAGTGGACTGGCTCCGGGGGGGTGGGGGCATCGACGTGGAATCGGCGACACAGCGCCGATAAAAAGCAGCGATGGGCACCCGAGAGCGAAGCAGCACAGCCCATGGGCGGGGAGGGCTACCGGGCCCCGATCGGCAATCGATGTGCGATTGGGGGCCGAACGTTGCTCCCAAGAGGAGGCGGCGGCGGGCCACCATACGCACCCGCGGAGCCCCAAGAAGACCACCGCGACGTGGTCGCCCCGTGAGGTCGCACGGCAACTGGTCCCACGGGATGGGCCGGTGGGGTCCCGCGAGGGTGAAGAGGTCTTCCTCCTTAGCTCGGTCGGTGTACCGGTGGCCCCCCCTCACACTGCTGGCGCTGTGGTCAGAGGCTTTTGATTGACGTGACGCGGCGGCGGCCCCAGCGACACGCTGTGCCTTGAAAGCGGATGGCGTGTCGCTCCGCTCCGCGGGCCTGGAGGCGGGGGAAAACTCGGGACGTTGACGACTGGGGACCGGGACGTGGATATGGCGTGTCGCGCGGCAGCGTGGTGGGCCAGAATAGGCGGAGCGACACGCCAAACAAAAGTTCCCAACTACGCTTAAACGACATGCCTGAAGTCATCCAGCGTGTCCTCGTCATTTGCATCGCACGCCATATTTAGAACGTCTTGGGGAGATTGCTTCGCCGCACCAGAATATGCCACACAACGTCGCGGAGCTCACCTAGAAACTGGGCACTGCACGGCCTTGGCACCGCAAGAGAAGTGTGAAACGCAACTCCTAGGTCAAGTCCCCTTCGGCTCACGCCTAGGGGGAAGTAAGAACACCGCTCGGAGGCAGCGCGCACGTCCACATTTGTACAAAGAAGCAGCGCGCCTTGAATCGCAGGCTGAGGGGCAGCGAGCAGCTGTCGCTGGACCTCTCGAGCCGAGGAGCGAGAAAAACCGCCGACGAGCCCCACAGACGCGCAGGGTGCCTGGGCGACCCCTGGGCGCGCGGCCAGCCTTGGAGAGCCGCCCTGGCACCGAGGAGGAGAGCCTGCCACTCGGGCCAGGAGGAGCACCGTGCCGTAATTAAGACGAAGCCATGACGAGGATAACATCGAGCGAGGAGAAGTCGGGAACATCTAAGATCTGGCGGCTCCGGAGGTCTCGGGTGCCGCGGCCTTCTCAGAGCGTTCGGGAACGCTCTGAGAACGTTTCGGAACGCTCTGAGAGCGTTCTGGAACGCTCTGGAACGGATTCATACTCGTCCTAGCCCTGCCCGACATGGTGACCACGACCATTAAGACTGAAGGCGGAAATGCCGGTGTCGATCTTGGTCAATGTGCACCTGGGTCACCTAGGTCCCCAGGTCACCGTGAACTCGTGGATGATCCTCGCGAATCGGCGACGGCCGGCATGGACCAATGACCATGACCGGCGTCGACAAGATCCTGCGACATCTTGGTCATGGTCATCGTGTCTGTATCTTCCATCGATGGGAAGATGAGGAAGGGTGAGGACGGGGCCGGCATCTAATCGGATGTGCGCCCGGGCCTCGCACGTAGTAATAAAACGATTTGGAGCTCGACGGGGCGCGTCCCCGGAGCGGCGGCCCTGCGGCGCGTGCGGGCACATGCCCTGCGGATCGGCGCCTGCCTCCTCCCCCTGGCCTGCCCCCATACCTCTCCCGTTGCCGCCCTCATCCCGCTCTCGGCGTCGTCGCCGTCGCCGTCGCCGTCGCCGCTGCTGCCGCAGCCGCCACAGTGGCCGCCGCCGCTGTCGTGTCGCCGCCGCCGTCGCAATCGTCGCCGTCGCCCCCCAGCTCCCGCAGGCGCAACCCCAACCCGCCGCGCAGGCGACCTCCCTCCCAAGGTCCAAGGCCCGTGCGCCAGACCGTCGTAGCCGCCGCCGCCGTTGTGGCAGTCGTCGTCGTCCACAGGCCAGGTGTCAGCCGTGACGCAGACGGCGCCGCGGGCGCGGACCCCCTGGCGGGCGCCATGGGGCGTCACTTCGCCTCGGCCTTCGCCTCGGCCTCGTCCGCCTTCTTCTCCCCGCCCGGGGGCGCACTCCACGACTGGCCCGGCACGAACTCCGCGGCCCCAGCGTTGAACTCGAACTGCTTTGTCGGGAACTTGTCCTTCTTCTCCTTGTCCTTTTCTGTCTTCGCTCGTGCCGGCCTGACTTTCTTGCCCTCGGATATTTTCATCTGCTTGTAGGCCTCCTCGTCAAATCCGCGGAGCAGCGTGTAGACGTACGCCTTCCAGTTTGAGACGTGGTCGCGCGACATGCCTTCCAGAGCGCCCTTGAGGTAAGCACACGCCTCGTTGCCGCGGCCTCCGTTCGCCTGGACAAAGTCCAAGTACTTGACGGCCTTCTCGTCCAAGTCGCCAGGCTTCACCACAGTGGCCTTCGCGAGGTCGTCGATTCCGTCCTTGTACTCCTTGTCCTTAAGTGCGTCTTTCGTTGACTCTGCCTTCGCCCTCCCCATCGGCACAGCCCAGAGTTGTGTTGTCACCCAGATGGCAAGCGGGGAGGTTATGTGGCCTCTGATTGGGCCTAATGGCTACGGAGCATCAAATGCGCCCTTGCTGTACTGCAGGCGGGAAGTGTGCACAGCACAGCTCGTTCTACGAACTCTGTGCTTGCCTGCGAGTTCGGAAACCCAAGCTAAGCGTTTGAGAGCACGTGGCTCGACGCGGCGCATCTATGGTCGGGTGGCCAGAAGAAAGAGCGAAGACCTTCTGCGACGACCCGACTGCATAATGGCAGTCGTGCCGCTGGTGCGGCTGACCTTACAAAGCCGGTTGCACGATGACGCCACAAGTAAAACTTTGAATTTGAGCTCAAAAGGGCTGGGCCAAAGAACAACGGGTGGACACACAGTAACTTCCAGCAATGGCCAATGAGGAAGGCCATGGACTGATAATCATGCACACTCGGGGGATAGTCTGCGCACTGGAAATCATACTCAGTGAGGGCACCCGCGACAGACCTCGAAGGTTCTGCAAACGCACTCATCGATGCGCAGGTGACGCACACACCTGCGCAGGCGTCAAGACCATGCCTGACGCAAGGAGGGGAGGGGGGCTGGCGTGCTGACGACCCGGGAGAGGAAAAGAAGGGGGCAGAAGGGAGGGAGGAAAGGGGAGCGCACCACGAGGGGGAGGTATGGAGGGGGGGAGGGGGGGAGGGGGGAAGACGGGAACAAAAAGAAAATCCTCATATCGGGGCGACTCCAACAAAAAAGCGACGACCGGGTTTTCGTTATTTTCGGCCCTAGAAGGCCGCTTCTGGGCCCCCAGGTCTGTCGGCAAACAGCGCAGGGTGAAGAGCAGGTCTTGAGCAGGTGACACTGGGAGGGGGGATGAGGGGAAGGACGGAGGAGTGGGGAGGGGGATGCGCAGTCTAATCTTCAGACACATGCCGCCATAGCCGGCGTCAAAGAGACAACGTCACAATGACAGCATTGCACGGCGCTCGTTCTTGACGCCGTGTTGCTGAGCTGTGGGCAGGACACGCGAGGATGAGGTAGAAGAGATGGCGGATGGGGACGGGGGAGGCGGAGCAGAGAGGGAAAGCGCTGCGACGAGAAAGGAGGAGTGGAGGGACGGAGTGCTGGGAAGCAGGGAGACGGGCGGGGAGGGCTGCACATCCTCTACAATCAAAAACCCTAATAAGGACGCGCGGTAAGGACGCAAGACCCTTGGAAGCCGAAGTTGGGATTTTTGGGGCGGCGGACGACGAAAACCCCAAGGACGCGAGGGTACCCTGAGCAAAGTCGCGCGTCCTTATTAGGGTTTTTGACTGTAGCAGAGAGGGTGGATGCGGCGACAATCCTGAACGAACGAGCCAGGCCTTCGTAGTCAGGATCACGGCTCTAAGGGAAAGCGACGACTCAGGAACCCAATGACACACGAGGCCCTCTGCGTGAGAGCCAGTGCGCATGTTGGCACTGGCCCGGTACTTCCTCGGCCCACCCTCTCTCTCCCTTCCTCCTCATTTTTCGCCCTCGCCCCCGTCTTCTCCGATCCCCCGGTCGAGACGAGCGTGGGAACTCTGTAACGGGCAGAGGGCACAAGAAGGACTGGCTGCAGCGGTCGGGCACACGCCGCCGTGGACTACGCATCCGTGGATCCCGCGGGGATGGAGTCGACGAGTCGAGGAGTCGAGGGAAGCTGGAGAGAGGAGGAGGACGACGAGGAGAAGGAGGAGGGGGAGGAGGAGGAGGAGGAGGAGGAGGGAGGAGGAGGAGGAGGAGGAGGAGAGAGGGGAGAAGGAGGAGGAGGAGGAGCGTTCGGCGCCAGGATCGGTGAGGCTCCGCTGCTGCGCGCGCCGAGCGCCTCCCCAGGCTGGGGCGGCGGGCCGCAGGAGGCCCCCGAGCGCAGTCCGAGACGGCGAGCCTCGAGAGGCTCTCCCGAGAGGCCCTTCGGGGAAGAAGGGGGGGGGGCGGAGCGGAGCCTGCTTTGGACCCCCCCCCCCCCTTCACCGTGTGCTCGATGATTCATACACGCTCCGGAGGGCCCCTGGCCATACTGACGCCCCCCGGGGCCGCAGTGACACCCAGCGGGCCGCAGCAACACCGCACCTCCCCGAGGCAGCCCCCGCACCCAGGGCGCCGAGGGGCCTCGCGAGGCCGCCCCCGGACTGCTCCTATAGGGGGGCCGCCGCGGCCAGCCTCGGCCTGCCCGGGGGGGGGGAGGGGGGCCGCCTGCGCACCACCCGACAAGCCGCGCGAGGCGGGGAGAGAGCCCGCGCCTGCGCCAACCCCGAGACGGGAAGGCAGGGCTCACGTCGGGCGCGTGCCCCATGCAGGGGGATCTTCGACGAAAGATGCAGAATGCACCAAAAACATGCTCCCCCAATGGTCAGAAATACTGAAACAAAAAAAAAATGGTCCCCAGGCTATTGTCCGACAGTGTTTGAAGATTCCTCCTGTGGAGGGGCAGGCCCGACTCTTAAGGCCAGGCCTCTCCGTGGGTCGGCCGCTGCCGGCTCCCAGCAGGCCCGCAGCGCGCCGCCCGGCCTCCGCCTCACACGCCCCAGCCCAGGGGGCATGGAGCGACTGCGCGGGGGGAGGGCAGCCCCGAGATCATGGCGCCGTAGCTGCTTCGCAGCGGGCGAGATGTTTTACTCCAGATTTCGTAATAAAAGGGAGGGGGCCTGGACCCTCCAAGACAAGCCATTTCAGACCTCCCCCGTGGGAGAACCCTCCAAAACATCGTCCCCAGACCCCCCCAGGCCCTCCAAGATAGCCTGGAAGAGACCCCCCCCCGAAATGAGACCCCCCTCACTTTATTAAATTACGAAATCTGGAGTACCCTGCTTCGGGCTCTGGAGCCAGCACGGGAGGGCCCAGCTCGAGAGGTGCAGCAGGAAGACGGGGCCCAGGGCTCTGGTCCAGCTTTGACCGAGGCTGCTTTTGTTGCGACATCGGTCCTCCAGGATAGGGTCAAAACGCGGCGTCAAACATAAACTGTCGTCACGGCTAGAGATTCGCTCGCACCGGAACCTGGGTCAGAGCGCACCTCAAGAGAGGTCTGGGGAGCAGCGGTATCGGCATCTGGATGTTCCACAGTCCTCCCCACCGCCGTCTTCCTTCGTGCACGTAGCAATACGCAAGCAGAAGATGTCAGAACTCCATGCGGACTTCTCGGATCGGCTGGACACCCTTGGCGGCGTCTCCAGCCACCGGCCCCCCTCACTGGCGCGCTCCACGCGCCGGGAAAGGGGCTAGGCGCCGCTCCGGGAATCCCACGCGGTCCTCCCTCCTCTTCTCCAGGAGTCGACACCACCCCGGACTGCCCCAGGGCCTCCTGGAGGTTGCCTGTGCAGCCCAAGGCATTGCCTGTTCTCGGTAAGAGGCCTCCCAGATGGGGTCGGAGTAGATGGGGTCGGAGGATCGCGCCCGCATCATCGATGCATCACCGATGCACCGGCGATGCATCGGCGACGTCGGCGATGCCTCGGCGACGTCGGCGTGGAGGAAAACAGGCTCCGCATCGAGCCGCATCGCCGATGCATCGGCGGTGCGGCGCAATCCTCTGACCCCATCTGGAAGGCCTAGATTGGTGGGCCGTTCGTGGAGAGATAAAAAGGTACTCCGGATTTCGTAATAAAAGGGAGGGGGTCTGGACCCTCCAAGACAAGCCATTTCAGACCCCCCCCGTGGGAAAACCCTCCAAAACATCGTCCCCAGACCCCCCCAGGCCCTCCAAGATAGCCTGAAAGAGACCCCCCCCGAAATGAGACCCCCCTCCCTTTATTACGAAATCTGGAGTACCTCCTCCTCCTCGGAACTCGAACTCGCTCCGCGGCCTCCGCCAGGCAGCTCCAGGTGCCGCCGCAGCCCATCGCGGTCCCGAGGCGCTGCATCGCCGGCGCGGAGGCGGCGCTTCTGGCCGGGGCGCCGGGCGCCCCTGCGCGCACGCGCCGTCTTGGTCAGCACCGTACCACCGGGAAGCTCTGAGCAGGGATCGTGCGCTGCTGCGCGAGCCCTGCTCCCCTAGGCCACCCAACCTGAAGGGGCCCCAGGACACACAAAGAAACACACACAACTAAAACGATTACCCATATGTTCCCATATTTTCTGGGCTTCTGTCTTCCCCCCCACTTCCCATATGTTCCCATATTCTCCGCGCTGCGTGTGGTGCCTGGCTGTCCATCGCGCCCCGGCGCCGCCGCCCTGGAGGAGGGCGCCCTCGCCAGCCCGGGCCCCGCGGTGCGCGGAGCGCGATTAGCTTCGCGCCCCCAGGGGGTGACCCAGGTCCCTGCCGGGACACTCTCGCGTCCTGGACGGATTACGACGGCGGCTTCTGAGGATCCTCGTTCTTCGGGGGCCCTCACCGGGCACCAGGAGCGGACAAAAAGTAGTGCTCCCTCAGCGGGCTGCCCAAGCGCTGGGGGGGAACGCGCAGTCTACTGGCGAGGTCTCCTCCTCGTCCTCGTTTTCCTTCCACTCCTCCCCCTCCTCCTCCCGAGCCCCCGCCCAATGTGTTCCCCCAATGGTTTCTACAGCGGCTGGAGAAACACACAGTCCAACATCGTGAAAAAACTCACGCCCACCGTTTGACATCACACGCATTCCCAGCAAATCAGGGGCAGCGGTGACTCGCCGTGGCGTCTCCGATGCGAATATTACGACAGGTAATGACGCTCGTGCAGAGCGGAATCAAAGGCTTGCTAATGATACGCCGCGACTGCGACTAATACAGTGAAGTAGTATGAGCATTGCAGTGTACGCTGGTTATGGAAACAACGAGCACAGCGAGTGATACGCATCACGACGACCTGTACTACTATCACATGGTACCCAAACCCGAGTTCACTGCGTGAGGTAGAATGAGTCAAGTCCACCAGGCGACAGGAGCAAACGAAGACAGCACATTCAGTCGCCGATTGATATAGAGATATTTCAGATTGCATCTAACGTATCTGAAGACATCTCCAGCGGGTGCAATCATCACAAAGAGGTGCTGCTTGGATGGTAATTTTGCGAATCACAAGCTCGATTCTCTCGCAATTCACAAGCTCGATTCTCCACCCCGTTTGGCCTGTGAAGGTTTCCCGAGCGTCCCCTGCGCCAGATGGGCAGGGCGCGTGGCCCCAGGCACACGGCGCTGTGCTGATGCCCACTGCCGCGGGATTGCACGAGGCACCTATGGCATGAGGCACGGGGCACGGACTGAATGTTCCAAAGCAGGCCTGGCATGGCACGGAGCACGGGCGCATGAGCACGAGGGTCAAATTACTACACACGTCTGTCCTTCATGCGTCAGGCCTGGTTGGATGAATTGGATGGGCCCCGAGAAAATCGGTCAAGAACTGAGGATAAGGGCAAATCCGCTCAAAATCGGTCCCCGGACCCCTCCAGGGGTCCGTCTAGTGCAGTCTTTCACCCTGGATCCGTTCCTGACGGTCCCGAAGCCCGAAAACTGCCCCAGTAGACCGAAAATAGCAGAAAACCTTATCGTGCCCAGCACCTCGAACCTGCCCCCAATTCCTGCTGGTCAGAACCAGTACTGGGCCCACTTCAGACCCCCAACCGACTCCAAAGTACCACGTCTGTCCTTCGTGCGTCATGCGTGCGGCCCAGGCACGCTCGGCGGGCGCGCGCAACATCGCATCCATCGGGGGCGCGGGCACCAAATTCACAGTGTACGTGCAGATCTTCAGGCACTGCTCCCAGCCTTTGCGCCGCACCGTACGGGGGGCGGACAAGAAAACGCATACGGCAGGGAACTGTTACTAGCGTGTCGCGGCGGCGGCTCCGCGACACGCTAAGCCCTGCGAGCGGATAGCGTGTCGTTCCGCTCCACGGGCATGGAGGCGGGGAAAACCTCGGAACGTTTTCCGCCTGGCGACCAGGACGTGGATATAGCGTGTCGCGCCGAGGCGTGGTGGGCCGGAACCGGCGGCGCGTCACGCTATGCCAGAGTTCCCGACCGCGATCACAACCAAAAACAAATAGTAATAATAACACACCACACAAACATAAGCTTTCGGAGCTCCACGCGGATTTCTTGGATCTGCGGAGGGCCCCCCGCCATGGCCAGGGCGCGCGGGGCGCGCCAGGGGCGGCGACGGAAGCGCCGCAAGGAGGGCCCAGCGCCGATCCGGGAAATCCGCGCGGAACTTCGAGACCTTCCGCCTGCGCGCACAACCCTCCTTCATCGAAAGAAAACGAGGGGATGGGCGGCGCGCCAGACAGACACCGAAGCGGCGCGCGGTGGAAAACGGCACGGCGCACGAAAACACCTCCCAGGGCCGAACGCCACGCCGCGCGAGCAGCTCGAATCACCCCCAAGAGGACAAGAGGAAAACAGGGAGGAAAGTGGAGGGAAGGGGAGAAAAGGAAAACAATAAAGAGACACAAGTAATCACTTAAATCAATCCTCGCTCCTTTCCAGCACCAGACATCGATTACAATCTGCTCGAATTCTGCTTGTCTCTTTGACGCGCTCCTGCACGTGAAAGCGTTCGACGGCATCGCAGGCGGGCAAACGCATCGGCGTAAAACGATCGCAGTGATGTAGATCAACATAAACGCTCGATTCTCACCACGGTCGAAAAAATGCGCGCACATAATACTGACGACAAGGAAAGTAAGACATGTCGTGGTAACCCAAAACTACAACGACGGTGCCTCAACGTCACTTCAAATCGATTCCACAGCAAGCTAGATTCAGCAATCCTCACTCCTTCCCAGCACCAGACATCGATTACAATCTGCTCGAACCCGTCTTCTCTCTTTGGCACGCTCCTGCACGAGAAAGCGTTCGACGGCATCGCAGGCGGGCGAACGCATCAGCGTAAAACGATCGCAGTGCTATACATCAAGATAAACGCTCGATTACCACCATAATTCTCACAATAAGTGTGACCCTGGCGTAGCCGCTAGACAACTCAAGATGCCCAGGAAAACCTCATCAGGCTGGACATATGCGCCCACGCCCGGGTGCCAACACTCTGCTGCATTCCACTCATCTTAGACAACTGCATAATTAAACGAGTGTTTCTCATACCGAACAACTGACGCATGGCTCTTCCAGTGTCCTCGCTGCTGCACCTCCTGGAGCGTCAGACGGTTGTGCCATCTGTCCTCTGACGGCCCACTATGGCGGACCGCATGCGGGCACCCCTTGAGAGCGTTGAGCCCGAGCTAATGGGAGGCCAACTTGAAATCGTTTTCGTGCTGTGGCAAGGAGACGCGAAACACGCGATCGCGGGGGGAGCTGAGCACGATCGCACAGCCGCTTCAGGCGATCCCTCACCCAGCGGCGGTTCCCCACGCCGACCCGGATGCCCGCGTCCTTGGGCCCCGTCTGCGTGGTCTTCTCCGGCTCCGAGTCGCCCAGCACGATGCTCCACTCGCCCGAGTGCAGCTGGCCTGCCTGGGGCTGTGGCGGCGCGATGTTGGCCTTGATCAGGCTGAGCGCCTCCGACGGCCTCATGTACCCGTCGTGCTGCAGCACCACCGCGCACTCGGACTCCTTGCGGTCGTTGGAGAGCATTCAGCTCACCAGCAGCCCGATCGCCGCCTCTGGAAGGCCGTCTCGAACTTGGCCTGGGGCTCGTTTATCCCAGCCGGTCAAAGCTTTGCGGCTCTCTGGGGGCAGGTTGCACTTCTCCGAGCCCTTCGTCTCCGGCAAGATCCAGGCGCCCCTGAGGCATCGCCCCAGAACGGGGCCATCGCCCGCCAAGAACTTCTCCGCAAAGTACTCGCACATCAGCCCGTCCACGGTGTTTGTGTCCAGCAGGCGGCACTTCGTCTTGACCCAGCTCTCGGACTTCTCGAGGCTCGCCCAGTGCGCCTTCAGCGCTGGCGCGGTCACGGTGGCCAGTCTGAGCAGCTGTCTCGCAGGGGCCGCGCGCTGCGGCTCGGCAAGCCGACGGGCCGCCTCTCGGCGCCTGGCGCGCTCGTCCCCCTGCGACTGCTTCTTTGGCCCGCTCCGCGCCAGCGTGCCCGAAGAGCGCCTCGCGCATGGCGATGTAGGCCGCGCCCACCTGGGCCGCGTCGCCGCCCTCTGCGCCGAGATCGCCGACCCCAGGTTCGTCTGCATTGACGCGCGGGCGAAGCGGCTGACTGCGGCCATCGCGAAGCACCCGCATCCAGGCCTGGACCCACTCTGGCTCCAAGGGCGAGCCACGAGTCCCAAGCTCCCCATCTTCTTGGGCCACCGCGCTGGCTAAGGCGCCACGCAGAGCAACGGTGACGGCCAGCAAGTTTCGCCCGAAGAACCCAGCGATATGCCCCGTCATCCCCCTTTACTCTGATACGACCTACCAGTGGTACATGTGCGCGTTGCTTATTACATGTCACGGCGATCTGGTGGAAGTACTGCGAGTTTGTCGTGATAGATGTTGGCTTGTTGTGGCCAGCGTTGTACATGCACATGTCGAACGCGACGAGGTGGACCTTCGCTGGCCCTAGGAGACCTGCTATAGGACGAAACTATCAGAGCCTGCTCGACCGAGAATTCTCCAGAGTAAAGATAACCCCACATCGTACACATTCACGAACTGCACTTCAACACTGAATAAAGCGAACCCAACTCCCAGGTGCTCCCGAGCCTCTGCCCTCGCCCAGTTTTTGATTCCCCTGCGGGAAATGGACCAGATGCTGCACGGGGCCCCCAGGTGGACATGTCGAGTCTTCCCTTCTCTGATCTTTCTCAAGACGGATTTCTGCACTGTTTTACGACTCAAGTCGAATTCCACTCCACGCTGCAACTCGACAGGCGGGCCAGTGCGTAGACCGCGGCGCTGGCAGGCTGAAGTGGAACCTGCAGCCCCAGAGAACAGCTCCAGGACTACCGCATCGGATCGGTGAGCCCAAGCCGGGGTGGTCCGAGACGGGGGCCGGTTGGCGAGTCGACTGCCTTCTCCAGCTGCAAGTGGCCCCTCGGCAGCCTGCTCGCGGAGTCGGGGCCCTCGGCCGCCCCCTCCGGTGACGGAGCTCGCGCTGCGGGCGCAGCTGGCGCCGGCCCCCCTCGCGAGTCACCATCAGCAGCGCAGTGCTCGCTGTCCACGTGCCTCCACCTCGGCCGCAAGTTGGCCGCCAGCTGGCAGGCGCAGAGACGCCTACACGGGGCGTTCATGGCCCGCGAGCGGCCGCGGCCCCTGTCGAAGCAGCAGCAGGTCAGGATGTTGTCGACCAAATGCAGGCCACGACGCCCTTGACGATGACTGCTGCGAGCGCAGCGCCTCGCACCATCCAAAGCGATGCGCGCCTCCTCCCCATTGATGCGTTCCTCAGGCCAGGCCCAGACCGCAGGTCGCTTGGGCCCAAGCTAAGCGATCGGTCCAGATCTTGGAAACCGGCGGGATGGCTGCAGGACCTCCACCTCCACGCCATGAAGACGACGAAGCCGAGCGTGGCGTGGCGCCTTGCCGGCGCAGATGACCTGGCGCGCCCAGCGGGCGTCGGCGGTGTCTGCGCCAGCGGGCGTTCCCACCACCTGGCCGTCGGCGAAGATCTGCTCGTCGGGGTCCGCGGGGTCGGCGTCGCCCACGTGCCCCCGCGCCTGCTCCCGCGCGAAGCTGGTCGTGACGAACTGGCGCTCGGGCTCGGGCTCCGTCCCCATGAACCTCCACCTCTCGCGAAACCGAATTTCGTTCAGGATGAGGTCCGAGTCGGCTCGGCGGTGCAACAGCCCGCGCCCCTCGGTCGAGCTGTCGGAGACGCGCACCACCTCTGAGAGCGGCATTGGCCAGGTCCACGTGGGGAAAGAAGCTCAGGCTCTGCACCGCCCACATCTCGCGCCTCAAGACGAAGTCGATGACCGCGCGTCGCTCCCGCCGAACGTCGAGTCGATGGTAATCCTCTTGCACGATGGCCATCAGCGGGCGTCTCAACCTCATCATGTTGATCGCGTGCCCGAGCCAGACCTCCAAGTCGCCGCTCCGAACGTACTGGCGGAACCTGAGAGCCTGCGTGGCGGCCCAGAACCTCCGCAGCCTGTCCGGGGCATGCCTCAGCTCCAGCCGCTCCATGTCCAGGACCAAGCCCAACGACTCCACCAGCTTGCCAACCTCAGGAGGGTGCAGCGAGAGGCCCTTCAGCTTCGCGACCTGACCCACCTTCTCCACGCAGCGCGCGGCTCCAGGAGGCCTCGCAGCGACCGCGGCCACGTTGTCCACGCAAGCGCCGCCCAGCCCCAGGGAACCCCACCCTGTCGGAATAGGAGAGCGATCCCGCATTACAGACAGACCTGCGTCTGAAAGACAGCTCTCGGTGCCCTCGCTGCAGAGGTAGAGGGCCCACGTCCAGCCCATGCACGTCGCCTCGAAAACGACCTCCAGCGCATCCGAGGGGTCCACCTCATCGTGACCCTTGAAATCATCATCTCATACCTTCTCGATCTGCCAGTCCTTCGCCTTGACCTCGTGGCCCAGTCCGAACCAGCTCGCCACTTCTTTCACTGAGTACTGCAAGAAGGCGCCCTTCACATCAATGGTGCCCGCGCCCAAATTCACCTCGCCAGCGGTCGTCTCCCCAGAGCTCACGTCGGTCAGGTCGAGCTCGGCTAAGGCGGCGCCGCCCAACTTTGCCTTGGGCGGCCTGCAAGGTAAGGCATTCGTGACACTCGAATCGCATATAAACCTGATGTCCCCGTCCCCCGTGCGAGCAAAGAATAGGCTCACGCGGGCCTTCACCTTCCTCCTCGCTGAGCACAGCCGAGCCCGATACAAAGCCTCCAACAGATGAGCGCGCGCGCGAGCATCACGACGTAGAACGGGGCCCCAGTGCGGGGTGTGCAGCTCGCCCTCCGACCGCAGGCTCCCGATCTCCTCCGCGCTCCGCTCGATGCGTCTCTCACTGTGCATCAAAAACCCGGCCGCCACCGGCGGCGACGCCTCCGCTGCGCCCTTCGGCATCACGTCGCCCTTCAGGACCCTCAGCTTCTCGAAGGCGTAGCTCGCCAAGTGCTGCGGTAACTCTCCATAGAGTGACCTGGTCTTGAAAACTTGCCGAATCGCGCCAGACTGTTCCGCTGCAGCCCCAAGTCACCCCCATCGTTGCCCCCGGCGCCCCCCCCCCCACAGTGGGCTGACCGTGGACCCGCCCGTCTGGACGAGCGAGCCCAGTGATGCTGCCCTGCCCCCAGCCACCTCCACGCAACGGCCCCCTCAGAAACGGAACCCCGCACTGCAGGCTCGAAGCCGAGACGCTCTGCGCGCGGCGGCGGCCGACACCGCACGCGTCGCCCGACCTCGAACGAACGCGGCCTTCCGATACCCGGGGCGTCTCAAAAGGGGGGCGCCCAAGAGGCGGGGCTATAGCGAACCGTGGCCCGAGGCATGGGCGCGGACGGGAGGGCCAGGGACGTCGTGCAAGACGGAGAGGGCCGCGAACTCGGCGAGACATCATGGCACCCCAGCTACAGTCGGGGCCTTGACCTAAGGAACCCAAAATAAGGAACGAGGCCCCTTTTTTCCCATAACTTAAACGCCGATGTCCCATCAAAGTGAGCAAAACCAAAGGCGAACTACAAAACAACGAAGGAACACCGAGCCCCTCCCCAACGAAAAGGGTTCCTTCCTCAGCGCCCCGACTGTAGTCAGAACCCCACTCCTGGACGCCCCCGACGGCCGACTTCGTCAAAGGGGGGAGGTCAAACGGAGCGTGGAGGAGAGTGCGCCTTTCGTGGTGCACCTCGCGGGCCCGCGGTGGCAGCTCAGCAGCCCCTTTCGGGACCCTTCCCTGCAGTCCTCGATCCAGCCACGCTCACTGCCCTCCCGTTGCCGTCCGCCCGAGAGTCTTGAAGGCCCTCGCCAAGGTCGCCACCGCGTCGACACGGCACGAACCTGCCGCGGTTGCACTCTCGACGGAGACGCGCATCAAGGCGAGCCTGCGAGTGTCCAAGGCTGATTCAAGGAGGACCGGAGACTGCGATGCGGGATTTATCCATGACAGCCGCCTGGGGGATCAATTTTCGCGGACCTCGGCAGGCGATGGGCATGGATTCAATTGGCCACGCCTGGACCCTTTATATGCCTATACGACCACCCTGCGGGTGATACGGAGGTTGGGGGAGGAGGGGGGCCAGCAATGGGCAACAGTGGTGATTGTTGCGTTGCCGCTCGCTCTTGGTAGCCTTGGTGTCGAGTTGTTTACGTCACCCTTCGCTCTTGGGCGCCTTGGTATCATTCTCCCCCCCGGGAACCAGCGAAATAATAATTTGTTTAGTTCATGTTGCAAGGGCTTGGGGGGCCGTTTGGCCGTCGATCTCACTATCGATCTCTCGATCGATCTCACAAGCGATGTCGTTATCGGTTATCGGTCTCACGATCGATCTCACCATCGATCTCACTATCGATCTCTCGATCGATCTCACAAGCGATGTCGTTATCGGTCTCACGATCGATCGCACCATCGATCCCACTATCGATCTCACTCGATAGATCTCACTATCGATCTCACTCGATCGATTTCACTGTCGATCTCACCATGAATCTCGTTATCGATCCCACTATCGATCTCCCTATCGAGATCACTCGATCTCACAATCGATATCACTATTCATCTCACTATCGATCTCACTATCGATCTCACGATTGATCTCACTATCGGTCTCACTATCGATCTCACTATCGATCTCACAATCGATTTCGTCATCGGTCTCACTATCGTTTTTGCACCAGCGGGACACGGGGTCATTTATTTAGTTCATGTTGCAAGGGCTTGGGGGGCCGTTTGGCCGTCGATCTCACTATCGATCTCTCTATCGATCTCACAAGCGATGTCGTTATCGGTCTTACGATCGATCTCACCATCGATCTCACTATCGATCTCTCTCGATCTCACAAGCGATGTCGTTATCGGTCTCACGATCGATCGCACCATCGATCCCACTATCGACCTCACTCGATCGATCTCACTATCGATCCCACTCGATCGATGTCACTGTCGATCTCACTCTGAATCTCGCTATCGATCCCACTATCGATCTCCCTATCGAGATCACTCGATCTCACAATCGATATCACTACTCATCTCAGTATCGATCTCACTATCGATCTCACGATCGATCTCACTATCGGTCTCACTATCGATCTCACTATCGATCTCACAATCGGTTTCGTCATCGGTCTCACTATCGTTTTCGCACCAGCGGGACATCCAGCCACAAGCGGGACACTGGCGGGACACCAGCGGGACACCGCGCGCCACCGCTTGCCGGAGGGAGAATCATGTGGTCCAGCTGGGGCCCAGCCACAAGCGGGACACTGGCGGGACACCAGCGGGACACCGCGCGCAACCGCTTGCCGGAGGGAGAATCATTTGGTCCAGCCGCGCCTCAGCCACAGGAGAGTTTCCTCTCGCCCGCCCACGCAGCTTCGCCTCGCCCGCACCCACGGCACGCACGAACACGAAACCGAAACCGATTTCCCGGTGGGGGGCTCTCCGTTCCACTTCGAACTAACCCCCCAACCTCCGATCCATACCCATCGCCTATCGAGGTCCCGGAAGATCGATCTTCCAGGCGATGTTGATGGATAATGGAACCCCTGCCTCCGAGAGACAGGCAACCAAAGAAGGGCCGGAAGAGCCCCCAGGACGGCCCCGTCCTCAGACGACCCTGGCGGCTTTCGGCGGGCACTCAGGAGATCCCCAGCAAGTGGGGAAACCAACAGATACCGACACCGCTGCTCCCCGGACCTCAGCTGGGGTGCGTTCTGACCAGAATTTCGAAGCGAAGCCTGCGGTGGTGGCGAAGGCCTCCCAGGAGGCCCACACGGGCGAAACCGAGGCCAGGGCAGCGGTGCCGGTAGCCTCTTGCCCTCCTCGGAAGGAAGTCCTCCAGCAGGCGCCCCGCAGGCCAGGAGCCGGGCCCTCCGAGGGACGCCCCCGGCTGGCCGAGCCGGCGGCCGGGAGAGCGCGTGGAGGCCTCCCGAGCGGGTCGGAGCAGGCGGGGTCGCAGGATCGCGCTGCATCGCTGAGGCCTCGTCGGTGCATCGTCGGTGCATCGGCGGCGCCTCGGCGACGCCTCGGCGACGCCTCGGCGACGTCGCTGTGGAGACCATCGAGCTCCAGATCGAGCCGCATCGCCGATGCGCTGGCGAGGCGGCGTGGTCCTCTGGCCCCAGCTGCTCGTACCCCAGCCGGGCGGCCTCCAGAGGGAGAGAGGAAGAGGGGGGCTCCGAGGCCGGGGCCGAGCACGCACTCGCGGACGCTGCTGGCGTCGTGCCTCCGGGCGGGGGGGGGGGTCTCGCAGGCCCCCCCCTCGCGCGTCGCGGACAGCAGCCCGAAGGAAAGCTGTTGGCCGTGTTCGGCCTCCGATGGCTCCAGCGGGCCACGGGGCTTCTTCAAAGAACGATTCAGGATGAAAGCCTGGTCACGTCTGCGGGGAGGGGTCGGGACCCCTGGGGGTCGACGCTTTGAGAGATCGCGGCGTCGGAGGTCTGAGTGGGGAGCGTCGTGGGATCCAGAAGGCCTAAGGAAGCTTGTGCGTGTTGAATGATGTGTCTGTACGCAGCCCCGTCGCACACGGCGGGCTGGTCTCACCCCTTGCCTCTCATCCACGATGCTGGTAAAATTAGCCAGTCTATGGGGCCCACCCGCACCCTGACGACAGTGACGTCACTTAGCCTGGGGACGAAAAGCGTGCGTGCGTGTGTGAATGTGTGTCTGTGTGTGTGCTGTGTGCGTGTGCTGTGTGTGTGTGTGCTGTGTGCGTGTGCTGTGTGTGCGCGCGGGGGGATACATGCCTCCTCACCCTGCTGATGCCAATCTCCGTCACGCGCGGCGCGTTCGATGCGGTCAACGCTCTGCATGGCTCCCTGATACAACACGCACACACGACGAGAAATCTTCATGTCAAAGATCTTGCGGCACACTCATCGTCGATCTTTGAGGGTCCTAGGGTGCCACTGGAGCTTCTGTGGGCCCCCAAGACCATCGGGGGACAAGAAACTTGCGTGGGGCACCTGCTGACAAGCGGGTTTCGATTTTGATGTGCCTGCTGTAGCTGGGGTAGAAATCGTGGCACGGCCAGTGCGGTCAAGATTCCCTTGGACACCCGAGGAAAGAGCGCATCCCGTGGCAAGTGAGGGTGCGAGAGAGAGAGAGAGAGACACAGAGGGAAAAAAAAGAGAGCACGAGAGATGCCGTTGAAGGAAAAAGCTCGGCACCAAATGATGAGGAACACCTTCGCACGACCCGCCCAATAAAAGAAAAGCAGGGACATATAACTCATAGGCGCAGACAGAGACAGAGACAGAGGGAAAGAAAGAGAGAGAGAGAGAGCAAGAGAGATACCGTTGAAAGAGAAACCTGTGCAACAAATGATGAGGAACGCCTTCGCGTTGACCAGTCCCAAGACAAGCAGGACAATGACTATGAATCATAAGCCCAGCGTCTCGCGCGCAACACTTTCGAATGGGAAGGCCGGGTGGTGGAGCAAGGACTCTGTCTCTTCATACTAACTTCAGGCACTTCTGTTGCAAAGCTCTTCTTTCGACCCGAGAAAAAGAGAGAGAGAGAGAGAGAGGGAGAGCGAGAGCGAGAGAGAGGGAGAGAGAGACAGAGAATGCAGACAAAAAAAAGCTGCACCGTGAAAAAGCATGGGCGGAACTCTCAATTCGCCCTCGCAAGACCGATCCGTGACGGCTCCCAGTGCCCGAAGGTGAGCAAGAGCGTCCGCCGTGTTCCTCTTGCGCTCACGACGTCAGGCAGAGGCGGACCTCCCCCGACCGACCCCGACACCGACCCCTGGATGCCGCGGAGCTCCTCCTGCTGGGGCGGACGAAAAGAGGGGATATGTTGTTTGCTTGTTTTCAGAAACAAAAATCAAAGTTCCGTCAATGAGAAAGAAAGAGAGAGAGAGAGAGAGAGAGAGAGAAAAAAAAAAAAAGAGAGAGAGAGAGAGAGAGGAGCGAGAGAGAGAGAGAAGGAGAGAGCGAGAGAGAGGAGTGAGAGAGAGAGAAGGGACGTTTGTTCCCTACCTAGGCTCTGCCTAGAAGGGTTCTTACTTTATTAGCTTAAAGGGGCCGGGCAGTGTTCCCCGCCCCGGGCGGTTCCCCCCAGGATCCGCCCCGCGGTTCCCCCAGTGACGTTCCCTTAGCTTAGCGTTGCATATCTCATCTTAGCTTAGCTTAGCTTAGCTCAGCTTAGCTTCATCTTAGCTTCGCTTAGCTGTAGCTTAGCTTAGCTTAGCTTAGTTTAGCTTCGCTTAGCTTAGCTTTGGCTTAGCTGTAGCTTAGATTTAGCTTAGCTGAAGCTTAGCTTCAGCTTAGCTTTAGCTTAGCGTTAGCTTAGCTTTAGATTTGCTGTAACTTAGATGTAGCTGAGAGTTAGCTTAGAATTAGCTTTGCTTTAGCTTAGCTTTAAATTAGCTTTAGCTTAGCTTTAACTTAGCTTCAGCTTAGCCTTAGCTTAGCTAATGTCTATATATATATATGCATATGTTCGCTTTAGCTTAGATTCAGCTTAGCTTCAGCTTAGCTTTAGTTTAGTTGTACATTAGCGTTAGCTTAGCTGTAGCTTAGCTTTAGCTTAGCTTTAGCTTAGCGTTCGCTTAGCTTTAGCTTAGCTTTAGCTTATATTTACTGTTACTACTAATGCTGCTTTGCTAGAGGCTCCAACTCCTAGGTAGGATCGCACTGGGATAAGTTGTTGTCTATGCAGAGAGAGGAGGAGAAAACAGTGAGAGAGAGAACACAAAACACAACAACAACCATCAAGAGAGAGAGAGAGATAGGGAAGGAGAGAGAAAGAGAGAGAGAGAGAGAAAAAGAGAGAGAGAAAGAGAGAGGTCACCCCCAGCGACCCCGACTTCCGGCCCTCCCTCCGCCCCCCCTCCGGGCAGCACCAGGGGAGAGCACCACCAGGAGAGTCGCAAACTCCTCGAAGGGAGCGCCCCCCTGGACGCCCGAAGCACCCCGCCACCCTCCAGGACGCTCAAGCCGTCCGAAGTCCCCTCCAACCTCTCGATCCGCGGGAGCTGGGACTCGGAGGCGACCAGGGGGTCTGAATTGGAGGGGCCTCGAGAAAATCTGTCATGCAGGGGGGATGCGGGCAAATCTTCTCAAAATCTGTCACCAGACAGAGGCCCATCTGGCGCAGTCTTTCACCCCGGATCCGTCTCGGATGGCCCCAGGATCCGGCAACGGCCCCGGGAGGCCGAACAAAGCAAATGACCTTCTCGAGCAAACAACCTCGAAGGTCGCCCCCCTCCCTGGTCGCCAGAACCAACGCTGGGCCACCTCAGACCCCCAGCCTGCTCCAAGCTGGGACCCCTGCAGTGGTATAGGGGAACAAAAAGTGGCATAAACATAAAAACTCGGAGATCCGCGCGGATTTCTCGGATCGGCGCTGGGGCCCCCCGGCGGCGCCTCCGGCGCCGCCCCTGGCGCGCTCCGCGCGCCAGGGAGGGGGGTCCAGCGCCGATCCGAGAAATCCGCGCGGACCTCCGAGTTTTCATGTTTGTGCCACTTGTTACTCCCCTATGGTAGCCCCCCTCTGGCGCTGTGCGGCCCGCTGCGGGGGCTCGCCCGTGGCGCACGGCGCCGGGGATGCCGCCGAAGAGCTCGACCGTCGACCGCAGCAGCGCGTGCAGCAGGTAGACCTCTGCACGGCCGCCGCGCCCCCTTAGGACGAAGCCAGCACGGGGATAACATCGGGCGAAGAGAAATCTAGGAGGCAACTACTGTGAGGTTTACGTCGGAAGGATGAAGGGGGATAAGCCCCATTAGGGGGCTGTTGCACCAGAATGGGCCTCGGATCAAGCGGGATTGAGCCCGATTAAGCGGGATTAAGCGGGATTAAGCGGGATAAAGCCAGATTAAGCTGGACTTCGGGCCAGTGCAAAATCAGAATTTGACCTCCCAGGAGTTGCATCCCAAATCGGGTGAAGAGAAATCGAGGATCTCTGAGATCTGACGGCTCTGGAGAACGCCTCGGGCGCCGCGGCCCTTTCAGAGCGCTCTGGAACGCTCCGAGAGCGCTTCGGAACGCTCTGGAACGGATTGTTCCTCGTCCTAGCCCCGTCCGGCCCATCCCCCGACGCCCGCCCTCTTGGGCCGATTTTAATTTTCTTCGCGATAGCGCTCGCAACTAGCCCCGCCCCCCCCCCTCGGGGAACAGGCACTGACA